TATTAATCAGAGTGCAAGTCTATTTTGAAATTCCTCTTTTCTCAAAACTGGGTTGATCCAGGGACGTGTATAAATATCACATAGATGTGGTGCCCAGTGGAGAGTTATGGATAGAGGGATCAAGAGAAAAATGAGCTAGAAATATGAGGTAAAAAGAGTGAATTCTAACAAGAATATTTTAAAATCCATGACAACTATGCCTATCAATGTGAATTATATTGTATATAATTATTCACATTAATTTAAATTCAAATATATTCATGTGCCTGTGACAGGAATGACTTGTTAAGCTTAAAAATATGTTCAAATACATCATCCAAGCAAAATTTTCTTCCAAATAGCCATTTGGTGACATGGTTCACTTGTCTTTGCTAGTTTTCAGCTGCTGCTTGACTTCATTTCTTTCCTTCATGGAAAGCTTAGAAATATTTGGAATACTGCTTCAAATGCACATATTGCTTTTAGTTCTAGGGCAGCGATGGTGAACCTTTTTTGGCTTGTGTATCATAAGGGGGGAGCGCAGGGGGGTAGTGTGCGGGCATGCTGCACCCATAATGCAATGCGCGACCTCCCCCAGTGCGCATGAGAGGTACTCCCCCATTTATTGCATGCTTTTTTCACCCTCCCCAGGCTCCAGAGGCTTTATAGGAGCCTGGGGAGGGTGAAAACAGCCTCCCTGCCCCCTGGAGTCCCTCCGGAGGCTTCAGAGGGCATAGAAGGAGCCTACGAGCAAACCAGAAGTGACGTTGGATCGGTTTAAGCCCTCCGGAGGCTTCACTGAAGCCTCCGGAGGACTAAAAACAACCCTACGAGCAACCGGTTTGCTTGTAGAGTCGGTTTAAGCCCTCCGGAGGCTTCAGGGAAGCCTCAGGAGGGCTTAAACCGCTCCAACGTCACTTCTGGTTTGCTCGTAGGCTCCTTCTATGCCCTCTGAAGCCTCCGGAGGGACTCCAGGGGGCGGGGAGGCTGTTTTCACCCTCCCCAGGCTCCTATAAAGCCTCTGGAGCCTGGGGAGGGTGAA